AATCACAAAAATTAAAATTTTTTGAAAACGGAGAAAAAAAAAAAAAAAAAAAAAAAAAAGAGAGAAAAACGCACACATTGAAAACATTTAAATTCGTCAAAACACACCTTTTAGTGTAAACCCCCCCAAAATGAGGAACGGTGATGTCATTTACCTGGAGAGTAAGCCGGAGGGCTTGTGGCAGTTGGTGTGTAACCTCCGTTGGACTGCTCAGCCTCTCCATAGTCGAAGCTCGGTTGTCTGGGTTTGGGTCTGTACTCTCGCCTTGGTTGGGACCGACTTTCTTCAACCCTGCGCGAAATGTAAACAAGAACACATGTTGATATTTTTTTGTTTATAATGCATTCTCCATTTTAAAAAAAAACTCAACAGCACAGTACATTTCAGAAGAATGTCATGTCAAAATGCTCGGTTTCATAACCAAGCATCACAACATTGTGCTACCCGACTTAAAATCACTCTCCTGCCGCATTGCTTGCCCGCATGGGTACAGACACGCATTTGTGACGACTAATTTGAATTAAATTTTGTATTCACTAATTAGCAGGCCAAATGAGAAGTCTTCCTGAATTATACGCGGCACATCAAGCTCCCCAAATAGTCACCGCGCTGACCTTTTTGTGATTTCGCCAGAAAGTTCCTCCAGAATCTCGGTGGCATTTCTGTGGTACTGCAGCAAGGATTCGACAAGAGATGCCAGCTGGCTCACCTGCTCCACCTACAGAACGGCGATCGCAACAAGAAAAGCGATATGGTATAGTCTTCTTTATTCTCTCATAATATCTCCAAATTCAAACATCAAACCTGAATTGAAAAAAAAAGGAGCAAAGCAGGTCAGACAAGCTCCCGATGCTTCTTGTTCAAAGTCAGGAACAAAAGAAACAAACAACAACAACAAAAAAAAAAAGCAGACCACATTTGACACATCAGCTAGCAAATAAAACATGCATGGACATGGTCGTGTTTGCCATTAAAAAAAAAGAAAACGGAGATTCAATGAATCTGTTCCAGCCTCAAAATGAAGTTATATTGACCTTATTCTTATGGGTGTGAGAAAATAAACATTGTATTAAACACTGTATAACAAGGGCGTCCAAACTATGGCCCGGGGGCCATTTGCAGCCCGCCATCTATTTTCCAGCGGCCCACGCCGCGACTAAACAAACAAACAAACAAATAAATAAATAAATGTTCATGAATCCTGAATCCAACGACGAATAACAGTGTTTTTAGTGCCGCGTGCACAGTCCAGTCAAGTGTCCACTCACATCAGTCTCCAGCAGGTTGTACATGGAACTCTCAGCCATGTCTTTGGACTCGTGGAACTTCTCCAAGGACTGCCTGATCTCCTCATCTGGAATTTTACCCTGACGCTTCTTTTTATAGTCGTAGTCCAGGCGGCGGCCCTCCATCTTCTTCAGATGGTGCTGATGGCGTAGAAGGATGAGAATGGCAGAATAGATTTTTTTAAATAGATGTCAAATGATTTCATAAGTCGATTAACTGTTCCAACTCTACAACTGTGCGTGTACCTGAATATCTTTGATGTCCTTCTCAACGACTCCTTGCAACGGGTCAATAAAATTCTGTTTCACGTCAATGTCCAGACTGTCCTTGATGGCGGACAATTTCTTCATCGATTCTCCAATAGCCACGAGAGCGCCACCTGGAGGAAACATGCACCAAATGCAGCTTTGTGACATTTGGGTCACAGTAACGCGGGAAATGAAAAGGGAGCGCCTCAAAAAGAAAGGTAATACCGTCAAGGCGTTTTGGAACCAATTACTAAAAATGGTACCTTCTAGTACCTGGTTTTGCCAATGGAAAAATGTCAATACTGGGAGCATGTGCTCGAAAGGTAGCAATAGACATGTACTATTTAAACTAAACTGCATTCACGTTCTTCCCCCTTTTTGAATTTTTTTTTTTTTTTTTTAATGATTGATGATGTTTTTTTTCTTTACCAAAATTGTTGTGCTGGCCCATGTCTGCTCCGTATTTCATCATGCACTCTCCGAGCAGGCCTTCGGACTGCGGGTATCCAGGACTGTTCAGCTGCCCACGGAATTTGGACACGGTATTGAGCATGGACAGTTTAGCTCTGTAGGCCGGGTTAGGCTGGAGGTACTCGGTTGTTTTGTTGATGACTTCAACCACCGCTTTGCTGGTAACATCTGCTCTCTGGAGGCACATTTGGGGAGGGATAGCGACTTAAAACGTGCATGTGCAAAAATCCAGCTTCTTGTTTAATTTGGAATTGGCGTGATACCCTTTCAAGGTCCTTGAAGTCTTCATCCAGCTTGGTTCCCTCTGCACCGCCAACCTTCTCGCTCACCATCTGAGAACACAAAAGGAAGCAAATTGGATGCGTCCTCTGAAATGCTAGACGTGCTCTTCATCCTAAGAGTTCAATCAACAATTTTCGTGGCGGAAAACCACTTCTTAATTTCACAAAAACACTTCAGGCAAGACATCAGCAAATCCTTACGAGACTAACTCAGCAAGTATCGGCAAGATTAATCCGGAAATCCATCCAATTGATTTTCTTGTCTTTTTAGATCTTGTTTTCATGGTGATTGCTAGTTTTACTCCTTTTCCATTTCGGCCACTAATCACGCAGGTGGTGTTACGAGTGTGTCATCTTCTAGGGTCACGAACCATTTTAAACACAGATATTAGCACTGACAAATTACTGAG